TAGTCCGGCCCTCCAACGGTCTGAGGGACAGTGAACTGGCCCCCTGTTTAAAAAGTTTGAGGACCCCTGGTTTAGGGAAAGAAAGTCTGACAGTCCCCAACTCAATGGGTTGCAAGAGCCTATGGGATTGTAAGGAATCCTCAAACAATCATAGACCAAATAAATAATAAATCTCACAATACGTTCTATTTTTCAAATGTGATTAATAAAAATTCATTTAAAAGCTAAAATAAAAGGAAAAAATAAATTATTTGGAGCAAACATTTTGAATTATAAAGCATTCCCTATACATTTCTATGGACTTGTCTGATCAAAACCACATTCATAATCCCAACTTACTAAGGATAATGTCAAACTAAAGCCAGGGTACACCAAACAGAAAGTTTCCTACACAGACAATAAGAAAATAAACTGATAGCTTTAATCCAGCAATTTAATATCTAGGAACTCATCATAAATAATTTCAAGATTTGTTTCTGTAAAGCACACTGTCTCATTACTCATAACTGTCAAAGAACAACAACAAACAAAAACAAAAGAAGCCCAAAGCCTATATATCCAATAGGGGACCAATTAAATAAAATGCCAATACAGAGGGCTATTTAATAACATGAGGACATATTTACTATATATTAAAGAGAAAAAAATACAGTACAGCAAAAAAAGCCAAAACAAAATTGAAATATACATATAGACACAACAAAATATTTGGAATAATATATATCAAAGGGTGATGCGTTATCTTTGGGTGGTAGTATTGAGGGTAATTTATGTTGTTTCAGTGGGTCAATATTTTGCAAATATTCCACAAAAGACTTCTTAGGATGTTTTGCAATTAGAAAAAAATACAAATTCATTTTTAAATGTGAAATTTTAAAATAGTTGAAATAGGTTCACTTCCTATTAGTAGTCAAATCATATATATCACTTTTACTCTGAACCATATGTTAACACAAGAAACAATTTTGATCAATGTTTGATTTTAAGAAATAAAGACTTGTAGAAAAAAGGTAAACACAATGATTCATCAAATGTTACTATCTAAACTTATGTTGTCTTTAAATAATATGTAAACCCAAATCATTCCAAATCAATGAAATTACCTAATATTTTAAAAATGCTTTCAATAGTCCTTCCAATTTTCATATTAATACATTAAAGCCAAAAAAGTAAAGATAAAATAGATCTAAATATCATTCCCTCTCTGTTCTAGCCTTATAGCATTTATCTGTATTTCCAACTAGGCACATATTATAGTCAAGTAAAATAGTGAAGGAGCTTTGGTAATAGAAGTCAGAGGCCCAAGATCAGAATCCTATCTCCTACCCTTTCAACTCTTAGACCTGGGCAAGTTAACTTACCTCTCAGTTTCCCTAGCTATTAAAAAAAAAAAAAAGATAATATTTATCATAGAGTTTTTGTAAAAGACTAAATAAAAAACTACAAATGGTAAGCATAGTGCCTGAAGACTAGAAGGTACTCAATAAGTGGTGGTTGTGAGTGAGTAGAGGTATGTGCCACAGTTTTTAAGTCACAGAACTTGCCAAGCCTCTTGAAACCTGTATGACCTTGGACAAGTTACTTAACCTTTATGGACCTCAGTTTCCTCATCTGCAAAACAGATATAATACCTATCTTGCAGGTTTGTACAATTAGGTAAAACTAGATATAAAAATCATATTGCATATAGTAGCTACTCAATAAATTGTGGTATCACTATTAGCTATAGCAATAAACATTTGAGTATAGGGATTAGCAGTTTTTAAAATATTCTTATATTTTAAAAGAGTACATGTAATTCTAAGAATTAGATATCATTTAAATAAGTGTATTTCTCTTAATTCCCAATTTAGGTGTAAATTTCAGAACAAAAGTAAAATACAGACCAAGTTTTCTTAAGCACACTAAAAAGATACAGGGCCACTTCACTAGTTTCAAAGTAAAAATATATTATCTATAACTAGATTTGCTTTAAAAAAAAAATTTAAGTCCAAATAAATCTAAAAGGGTCAGAAGGGGAAATGTTTGTTTCTTTCTGCAATTATAAGTCCTTAGGAAGAAAACAGAAACTTGAACTTTTCTATTTTTTTCATAATTTCACATCTACTATGTAAGTGCCTTGAATACAACAACTCTTTCAAATCTCCGATTTCCTGTCTCCACCTTTGTGCAGAAGCAGAACAGTACTACAGTTAAGATTATGGACTGTGGAGCCAGACTGCCTGGGTTCAAATCTTGCCTCCATCTAACAGTGTGACCTTAGTTTTAGGCATGGTTTAACCTCCCCATGCCTGTTTCCTGAAAAAATGTAGATTCCTCATACAATTGTTTTAAGGAGTAAACCTTTAAAGTGTTCATAAGAGAGGCTAGCATATTGAAGGCACGTTATGTTTCCCTTTGTTGTCATTACATTATTACCTCTCAAAATGCCTAGATCTGTGACTTGTAATTAATAAATATTTGCTACTCTGTAGAAAATTTCAACAAATGGCTTTACTTAATATTAGACCTGCTTAGGAAGTATCTTAACATGACTGTCAAGGCCAGCAAAGATAGAGCAGTTGCTGTTAGGATTTTACGGCAAATGTAAGGAAAGTCGATCCCTTCTTACACTTCCTATCATACAAAGCTGTAGCATTGTTACTTGCTAATAGAAGTTCAGTACCAAAACAGTTTTACAATTTAGGTATGGCATACACCAATCCAGCAGACACAAAACTCTCAAACTCAATCTCTGTAATACTCAACTACATTCCTTCAAAGAAAAAAGTTCAGATCACTCTTCTATTATAATAGTTTAATGCTTTAAAATAAAAACTATATTGCATAAGTCAACAGCCTATCATAGGCATTAAACAAGACACTATAATTGAAAGTGTTTGAAAGTTAAATATACATTAAATATGAGCTTATGAATATACTTGACAAAATCATAACAGATTTCTCCAATCAAACAGCTGCCTTCTAACCCCAAAACTAGTGCTCTGGGGCCAGGATAAAGAGACATAACTCAGTCAAGTTGCCATCCCACTAGGTCATTTCCTGACTGAAATGTACTCTTCCCTTATTACTGGTAACTCAGGTGGGACTTGTGACACTTGAGGACCAGGAAAATATCTTCACAGTTATTGGATCAAACAATGCCACCCAATCCCCAACTGTCTGAGATCCTAACCTGGGTGTAGAAAAATGATTGTTATCTTCAGGTTCAAGAACCTGTTAGCCCTGAAAATCAGAAGTCAAGTACCTAGGGCCACATTTCCATTCCAGCTGAGGGCTAAGAATGTTTACCTGGCTCACCCTCAAATTAGAAGTTTCAATCAGCACCCATCAGGTCCCGGCCACACAGCAGCCATCAATAACTCACACAGGCCAGATCAGACCACAGGTCACTTGGCCCCATTCACGGAACCAGGTCCGACCGAAGGCCGGCCTGCCTGCCAACCCTTGGCCTGGCCAACAGGACAATGGCCTGGCAATCAAGAGTTAGATTCTCCTAGCCCTGACCGGTTTGGCTCAGTGGATAGAGCGTCGGCCTGCGGACTACAGGGTCCTGGGTTCGATTCGGTCAAGGGCATGTACCCTGGTTGTGGGCACATCCCCAGTAGGGAGTGTGCAGGAGGCAGCTGATCGATGTTTCTCTCTCATCGATGTTTCTAAGTCTCTATCCCTCTTCCTTCCTTTCTGTAAAAAAAATCAATAAAACATATATTTTTTAAAAAAGAGTTAGATTCTTCTAGCCACCGCTCTGTTTCAAGACTCTTGATGGAGTTGACTTGACAAATCAAATTTGATAAGACGTGAAGAATTTTTGAAACACAGGTGGAAAACTTCTTGGAATGTGCCTCACAGATCTAGTCCCTTCATTTGTTCGGTAACATAAAAGTGTATGATCTGTAACGCGTTTTGTTTATAAAACCATTCTGGTCTTAAGGAGATGATGGTCCAGGGGGACACAACTGTCACTTTTCTTCAGGGTCTGCACGGGTCTTAAAAACTTTACTAAAATCAGTTCCTCTATCTGCATGTAAAACTGGAATGAGATCCACTCCTTCTCTCAAAATAAGTTAAAGGTAAGTACACACTGCACGAAAGTACTCTCAGCATTTCAGAAGGAATTTTCTACAGAAAAACGTATGCAGTTAGGTATCACGTATGCAATGGCAGTGATGCAACTCTTTTTTTAACACCTAAATCGGAGATCCGGACCAAGACAGTGTGTTGGAAGTCCAGCTCATTCAAGTATGTCTTTTCTGTCCACCTTTGCGGTCCTAGGTTGGGAAACTGGTCTGTGTCTCTATAAATCCATGTTCTGGGCCATAATATAAATGCAACTCTTCTGTGAGGTCCCTCCTGCCCACTACCTCTCTTTTTCGCGCGGGGGGGGGGGGGGGGGGGGGGATTCCCCCTGGCAATTTCCCCCCTTGCAAGGACTCCGGGGGGTGCCCAAATTTTCGGCCTCTGGGAATTTCCCCACTGTTTTGCTGTTGAACACTTTTAAAGACACCCCCGCGCCTCCCCAAAAACCTCGGCTCA